GCACCGGCCAATGGGAGAGCGGGGAAGCGCAAAGGAGCCAATCAGGGCGCGCATAGGGGACCGGTCCCGCCCCCCAGCCCCGGTCCCGCCCGGCGCGGGGAAGGCAAGCGGCACCACGCGGAGAAAAAGAGATCGTTCGTTTATTGAACGCCGAAATGCGCGAGGACAGGGGACAGGGGGCACTGAGCGCCGGCAGGGAGAACGTGGCAGGGCAGGAGAGGGATCCTGGGGAGCACCGGACACGGCACGGCACAGCCTACGATCCGTTGGGCACCGTGTCCTCTTCCATCTCTTCTTCGCCGTCCTCTGATGGGCCTGAAAGGACACGTCAGAGTTTTAGGGCAGGTGCTGCAGCTAGTTTTCCTTTCCCACCCCTCTGCAGAGGAGGAGGAGTAACAGGAACTCCTAAGGACACTATGGAAAGGAGAATCTACATAGCACTGATAAGAAACAAACCACTGCAGGCAATATGGTCAGCCTGCAGGTAAGATTTGTTCATGCAGAGAGTGCTCTTGGACATACCCTTCTGCCCCTACACACAGGGCACCAACACCTCAGAACAGCAGAGTACGGACCTTATAATTAATCTATCTTTTTCTAGTAACTGGGATGAACTTTGAAGTTAGCCAATACAGTGAAGCACTCAGGGCTGTTGTTTGGCACCTGCTCTTGAGGGAGTACAGGTATCAGCTCTGAGGCAAGCCAGGCCAGGCAGATATTACACCTGTGGGATGTGGTCCACAGTCATGATGATGAAGTTACACTCAACTGAAATGAGCTTTTCAGCTCTCTAACTGGCCCTTTCTACGTAACTCCTTACTGAGATTACATAAAGCATCGGGAAACAATGAAGAGAATTGGATTCTGCTTGGGAACAAAATTGGAAATAGAGAATGACCTGATTTTCTTTCTCTGCCAGGAATCTGACCAGCCTGCAGCAAGCCCTTCAGTCGCTCCACTTCAGCCAAAGTCGTGGCGTTCGCTATGGCAGTCTGAAACACAGACAGGAACACAGTGAATCTCCACTCACTGCATGTCAGTCTGCTTGGAATTAACACAAGGAACAGATTTCTTCCAGTTAAGTGATGCTAAGCTCCTATAAAAGTTCTACTGAATTCTAATCCTACAAAATTCTGCAGACAACAAAGCACAATCTTAGTTCCTCCCGCTCTATCCTGGGAGAACTCTCAGCTCACACTGACTTTAACTTCTCAAAACCAGGTATGTCAGAAGAATTACAGGAAAAACACCTAAACCAGTAGAACTCTGTTCATCTGAACAGGAGGAAGGAAACATTTGTCCAGTTTGGATTCAGGAGTTTTTCTCTTCCCTTTTCTCTACTTGTGCTGTCCTCACATATTTACCTTAATTGCCTCCACATCGCCTGGGGAGGGCCCAGTTTTCTTTTTGTCAGTTGGCAGCCCAGCCCCTGGGTTGAAGCTTCAAAGGAAAAAAAAAAAGATCAGTTACACCTCTTGAAGAGTAGGTGCTTCTCCAGCTTCCAAACTAGGTTTGGAAGCATTTCATTCAATCAAGTGTAGTATCTTATCTTTGTTAACAAACTGATACATTGAAGAACTGCCTCCTTCAGAAACACCAGCAACTTGTCCTTGCTGTCCCATTCCCCCCCAATAATAATAGTTCAGGCAGAACTGAACTATTAATTAAGCAGTTGGCAAGAGCTTTTTGATTTGGATGTTGTTGAACACTCAGGTGGTCTGTTGTGCTTACAAAGCAGGGTGGGTAAATAAAGGGTAACCGAAACTGAGTTTCCTGTTCTCATGTGTCTTATGATATTGCAAGAGCCTATATTAAAGCCTACACTAGACTGGAGTGATCTTAACACTCAAAAGAAAAAGGTTATCTGCTGCTGCTGTAAGGAAAACAAAGAAATATCTGGTTTATGTGAAAAATGGAAAGATCTGCAAATAAATTCCTGGAGTGCTGAATCGCCATCAGAGTGCTGCAACCTCTCTGGCAGCTATAGGAAGGGTTTCTTCATGTTTATTGAGTTATTTAGTTCAATCACCTGTTTGTTCTAAAACTATCACAGACCTGAATCCCTTTCCACTCACAAACTAGAGCTAGAGGCCACCTATTGTCCATTTTGGGGCTGCTCAGCCTGGAGAAGAGAAGGTTGTGTGGAGACCTCAGAACAGCCTTCTAGGATCTGAAGGGGCTCCAGGGAAGCTGCAGAGGGCCTTGGTTAGGAACTGCAGTGACAGGAAAAGGAGTAATAGGTCTAAATTGAATGAGAGGGAATTTTGGTTAGATATTAGGAAGGAATTCTTCCCTGTGAGGGTGGTGGGACACTGGCACAGGTTGCCCAGGGAGGCTGTGGCTGCCCCAACCCTGGCAGTGTTCATTCCAGGTTGGCTAAAGCCTTGAGCAACCTGCTCTGGTGGGAGGTGTCCCTGCCCAGGGGAGGGGGTTGGGACTAGATGATCTCTGAGGTCCATTCCAACCCCTTAACATTCTATGACCCTATTACAGTTTTAAATGCTAAATACCTTCAAGATATTTTTTTATTTAACTATGAATTTGGAAATGCTGTTGCCACACATGATCCAAATCCTGATTTTCAAATAGGCTGATCAAAAACTAAACAAAACACATGGTACACCACTTCAGAATTAGACTAACAGACATACATTTGTAATAGCTTAACTACAGATTCTCATCTGCATTTATCCCAACTACAGCAGATTAAATAGTTTATGCTCCCTCGCAAAACAAAAAATTTTAGGTACCAATCATTTAGGGAAAAAAATGCCATAAATTAACCAGTGGCAAATTCTCTGCAGTCAAATACCAAAAGGTTTCCTACTTGACTTCAATCAATCCACCCTGATGAAATATCTCTTTCAAAAACATTTCTGAGATGTATTCACCACCATCCAAAATTTGGGGTGCTTGGACAAGGCACTTCTGGCTCCCAAAGCTTTTCAGGCATCCTGCCAGCAGCTGCTGTTTGAGTTTTCTGCCTGACACAGCACACAAAGGAATTGGTGTTTCTGAAGGAGAATGCCAGTGTAAATTTGTTTATTTTATCTTACGTTTTTGCTCTCCTGGCAATATCCTTTGCAAGCTGTGCACCCCGTTTGCCCTTGAACATTTTCTCTGCCTCCTGTCGCTCCTACAGCGATACCACACACACAAAGTTAATTTGAGAACATCACAGTTTGCAAAGCTTCTGTCTTTGCCAAGAAAGACACTTTGGCTCATCTTCATCACTGAACATTGGTACGTGGAGACCAGATGTAAGAACAAGCAGAAAAACATTGCTCAAACACTCAAACTCAAAGGTGAATCAACCTCATGCTCTGAACATTAAGAACTCTTAAAAAACTGTGCTGAGTGTGGGATTGCTCATTGCTTTCTCTAGAGCTCTGTCTGCAACCAGCACCAGAGGGACACAAAAGAATAACACTAAACAAAGGCAGTAAAACTTAACTAAACTTAATGCGACAGACTATATCCTTAGCAGAATAAAACCATGAAAGAATCCAACAGTGTGGTTTAGAGTTTTAATAGAAATTACAACTATGGCAAAAAGCTTATTGTTACTGCCATTGCTTTCTCTAGAGCTCTGTCTGCAACCAGCACCAGAGGGACACAAAAGAATAACACTAAACAAAGGCAGTAAAACTTAACTAAACTTAATGCGACAGACTATATCCTTAGCAGAATAAAACCATGAAAGAATCCAACAGTGTGGTTTAGAGTTTTAATAGAAATTACAACTATGGCAAAAAGCTTATTGTTACTGCTGAATTTTCAAGAATGCAGAAGGAAAAGGTACTAAATCAAAAGAAATCAGACTTACCTTGAGCTTCACTTTTTGAAAATCCAGCACTCTGACCTGGGGAACTTTATGGATTAGATACAATCTGTAATGCTTCTTATTTGTTACAGGATTCCTTAAAACACTATAAAGTAAATAAAAGTTATAAAGAGGTTCTTAATAGATTTTAAAACACACTTGTGGTGAAACACATTGATACACTTAAAATGCAATCATGTACCTTCTGCTTCAACAGACAACACATTACACCACTAAATAAGCCTAGTGACAGTTCTTTGGTATTATGGAAACTATAGTAAAAACTTGGACTTTATCAACTAAGTAGACTTTATTGAGGAAGGAAAACGTCTCAACTTAATAATGATAATAATAAAAACCCTAAACCATCACATTTCCTACCTGGACACTGATCAACCAACAAATCACAGGACAAACTGCTTTTCTTTTTGTCCCTTACACCAAATGTAACATTACTGAAAAGTCCTTGTTTAATTTAAAGTATTTTGTAACTATAGTTTAAACCTTTGGGTTTAGGTTTTTAAAGGTCAAGTTTTCTTCAGCACTTGCATATTGGTTTATAGAGATGTGATATCTCATTGGTCCAACAGTTTGTCAGTGACAGGCTTAGACACTAAATATTAGCTATTTCTGAAGTGCAGTGGAAATGTTATCAGTTCAATATTTAGGCATAAAGGATCTGTCACAGCTCATAAAAATCAGCATTCCAGGACAAAGAGCCAGTTCAAACAGCATAGAAAGAGCCGCTTTTCTTTTCAGGATTACATACCTCAGGTAGGTCAATGATTTAATAGTTGCTAAAGGATCCAGTTCACCCTGGGTAATGGGAACACAGCAAGAGATCACAAGTCCATTTAGTGAAAAATCAAATATTTGAACGCAAAGTTTCTGAACTCTTAAGATATTTTAAAGACTAACTAGAATTACTGCAGTTACTTTAACTGGAAACACACTGAGGCTTTGTGAATGCTGTTGCACTGCATGCTGCAAATCATGTTCAGTAAAGTACATACACCATTAGCTACTACCAAACCCACATATTACTCTAAAGAAAAAGAACTAACTGTTGCCAAAAGCAAATGGCACTACTCTCAGGAAATGGTTAATTAGAAACATGAAAGCCACAAATTTAAGCTTGTTTAGGTTTATCCTGCATCACAGCTTACCAGTTCAGCAATGTTGTTGTTGGTGAGGATGAGCTCTGTGAGGCTGGGCAGAGCCTGTTCCAGGTTTTCACCAATCCGACTGAGGAACAACAGAAAACAAAGGCTTAATCTTAAATGAGCAATGGTGGAAAGAAACACAAAAGAACACAGTGAATCTCCCTGTGAAACAATCTGGTCTGGCACTGGCAGAAGTTTGGGTGAGCCTTCACTACACCACTTTTTCCACTAAAGCTGATAATAAACACCAGTGTCAGTGCAATACAGGTGCAATATGGGATTTAAATTCATCCACTTGCAGCTTTCCCTGTTTTCTTGCCTTTATAGGGATGATCATTGAAATCCAAAGCTCTGGCCCAATTTCCAGCTCTGCATCTCATTGTCCTGCCTGAAAAACTGACTGACTTTTGCACTGAATGAGCAAGACACTCAAAGCAGCTTACACAGTACTCAGTGTTGATTTTATTGCCATAAACCAACCATATCTGCACCTCCCAGCACTGACACACACACACACACTTCTCTCCCCAGAGCATTTTCCTCTGGCCCAGGCTCCCACCTGGCCAAAACACATCCCCTCACCAGATCCTGTTGTTGTTCATCAGCAGCGTTTTCAGCCTCCGCAGCAGAGGGAACCCGTCCAGCTTGCGGATCTCATTGTCAGAGAAGTCAATGGCATCAAACTGGTCCAGAGTTGCCCCCAAGTTTTCAATTACAGGGATTTTGTAGCCTGGGGAGAGAGTGCAGGGCAGGGATTAGATGGTGAGCATAGCAGGGTGAAACAGAGCAAGGCAGAGTGTGTGGGGACATATCTGGATGGGCTGAACACTGATAGTCTCAGCCAAAATAGCTCTGGATGACTCTCCCCACAAGCCCAACAGCTCCCACAGGTGGGGACACATCAGGATGGCCTGAGGATGATGACAGTCTCAGCCAAAACAGCTCTGGATGACTCTCCCCCACATCACTCACAGAACAAACTCTCCTCCTAAAACCAAACAGCCTCAAAGGCTTTTTCAATCTTTCTTCCTTCCCCTTGGCAAACACCCAAACATCCTTGTATCCTCTCAGTCCCAACCCACCTCTCTGCCACACGAGTCCTGCTGGGGGCACGTCCCACCCCCTCCATCGCACATTCTTCCCACATTTCCCCCTATATCCTCTTCCCAGAGGCTCTAACTACCATAGAATCACAGAATTCTGGGGATTGGAATGCACCTTAGAGATCATCCAGCCCAAACCCCCCGCCCTGGGCAGGGACACCTCTCACCAGAACAAGGAGCAATGGGGAGAAATTGCAAGTGGCCTTGAACCAATCTTTCCGTTCCCTTCCAACCCAAACCACGCTATGATTCCAACCCCTCACCTCCCTCCCAGGTCCCGCAGCCACCG